TCTCCGGCAAATAAAGGGTTGAAGTATGCATTTTGCGGTACTTTTTTTACTGGGTGTTCATCACGTTAGCATAGTCTACTTTTTTCCCTCCTGACGTATTGAACGAACAAACATATAATTTGATTAAGGAACCTTGGTTGTGGAGCGAGGCACCTGTAACACCTTTTTAAAATGCAAATGATAGAAAAAACTGCTTTACTGGAGTCCGAAAATATACCTTAAATCGTATTTCTTGTAAATTTCAAGAGCAGATGGATAGCTACAATTTGCCAATGATAATACTGAAAAACTATAAGAACGTTTCTATTATATTAGCGTCTTGTGGCCGCTATTGCGGCCTTCTACCCAAGGACTTACGCATTTTGTAACAGCTCATCCACTAAGAACAGCTTCAGCCAGATTCATGCTGCGAAAATCGCGATCGAAAATATATGCATGAACGAGATGCTGAGGCACCGCGTGCTACACCTCCAGGTATGTGCAAAAATGACCAAAAGTTAATTCGCATACGTAGAGTTAAAAAAAAATACCGTAGGGACGTGATGAAAAATTACGACATGCATGGAATCGAAACGTAAATATTTTTACATTACCAGAAAAAAACGGTCCAGAAAAAATGGATTTGAGGAAGAATCACGCCTTCATAGACCGTATTGTCGCTAACGGTGCCAGAAATAGTTTTGCCTTGCTTCTGTTCATCGATAATCTGAATCTTCAACGAAACCTCAGAGCGAACTCGCGAGCGGCCAGCATGCAATTACCCATGCGTGAATTCTGGTTCCGGAAGTAGAAGTCCGACTCGCTCGAATGTCTGTCCATATTACTAGTTTATAGTCATACCTCATGCGAGCTCGATTGGGAATTGACGTCTGATGACGTGACCAGAGAAACACTTGGGAACAAATGAACGCTGCCACGGATACATTTACGACCTGTAAACCTGTAATACATTTACGTTCGTGTCTCTCACGATCATTGAAAAGGCCGTACCTTATCGAGGGATTCCGCAGAAGAAATACCACTGCTCCGATTCTTAGGTTAAGGGCTTCCAGAGAACTGAGTATTGGGGAATTTAACAGTAAAATTGACATGGCGATCGGCATCATCCCCACCTTGATCGTTTCTAACCAATTCGCAACTTCAAGCGTACTGGTACACACCAGGCAGCAGGATTGCAGCAATACTTGTCCACGCATCACTCAAAACATTCTGCCCTCTCCCATGCAATACTGTAAACGAATAAGCGCGAAGTACAGGAAGGTACTGCCAGTGCCAACGCACTTCCCGTTCCGAATTTCCCGTTCCCGGTCCTTCCGAGAGAGCAGCCAGCGTTAATTGGAAAATAGTGTGCCCGTGCCTGGGCATGTCTAGACCTAATTTAGCTAGTCGAATCAAGTTCAGCGCCATCTCTAGTTTGTTCTGATCCAAACCGGTGCCTAGGTGTGCGGTATTGTGTAAGATTGTTCCACCCGACCGATTTCATGAGGCTGCTGGCACAATAATGATCGTTGCATTAGCGGGTGCTGCTGTTTCCTATTCCAACCCGTTATAACTAAAGTACAGCCGCGCTTCCCATCCTGGCGCCCAATTCGGATAGGTCTTCCATCAGATCCTGAGATGACAGTGATGCAACGCTGTTTTTGAGCAACGAGGTAATTCGACAGGAACAAATCACCATGTAGTTCCTCATCCTTCAATGGCGTAATCAGGATTCAACATACAAACGCGATTATGGGACCTTCTGAACCAATCCCGGACCAGTAATGAGCTATGCATTAATACATTTGCAGTCCGTCGATGAGGTCGGCGTGATAGCCTGCTGGGTGCAGCAAATCACACATGCATCTTTGATGACATCCCCTTAGCCTTAACTGAAAGGTTGCCTCAACACTGAATGCCTCTAGTCCTGAGGATGTCGCACGGCTTGGCATGCCCCCGTGGTCTCGCACGTCAACCACCGCACTAGACTTGACATAAGCATTGGATATACCATACATGTCTTGCCTCTAATGTATTCAGAACCCCTATAAATCAGCATCAAATTCGATATACTTGCATCATTCGAACATAGCCAAAAAATAAATTCGCAACTTAGTACTGTAGAGTCTCAGCGGCATTTTCCCCCATTCCGGAAGACCGAAATTTGTCATTAAGGCAGATGCACTACCTGTTATCCAATATCTGTTGGGAAAACCAGCAATCCTCGTGGACCTCCGGTGAGCGGGTCAAATTCCTTTCTAAATGCGTGTTTAAAATATTTTGATCTTGCAGTTATAAGAATGCATCGAGTTCTCTCAATAACATTGTCAACTGGTTAAAGTGCGTCCCCATACATTAAGGGCTGTCGGAAATATAGTTTCTTCCAGTTGCCTAAATAATCGACGTCAGTGCAATCTCCACTTGGTAATTTTCATGTCATGGTACTGTGACGATGAATCCTATTATAGGATCACTATCTCCATTAATATCTATGATGATATGCAACAGTGCAAAAAATCACCAAATGAAATGCATTCAGGAACAAGGGCGGAATAATGCCAACTCGAGAAGGCAAATGATCCATTAAAAAAAAAGGATTTGTAAAGCGAAAACAAAACGTTTCATGAGGCTCCGTGAACTACTGGAGTAAAGGTCCGTTGCTTCCGCACACGTGGGGGCAACGGGAATGAATCTGACAAGTCAATCAATACCTTCTTGTGCTTTCATGATGACATTCCTTCTTTGTCATTTTTCACGATGCGTACAAGATGGCTGCTAATCCTCATGGCAAAGCGCTCGTCATCAGCAATTATGAATTTGGCGGTTTATTGAATGATAGGCCAGGCACAGACATCGACGCGGTCAAGATTCGGTATCTATTCGAGAAACTGCACTTCTCTGTCGACGTTGAGGAAGACCTCACACGTCAGGTAAGCCGCTGTGGATGGCCTGGAATGAGTTGATTTCTCACAAACGTGGGTGACCTTGCACAAATTGAAGAAACGTTTCCTAGTCCTTCATTCAAAGGTGTGTAATGGAGTCGTAAATGTGCTCATGTAATTCACTGGACTTTTGCGAAGAAATTGTGCTTTCTTCTATGCGCTTTTGAATGATGATTAAAACTTTTTTTTCTCCACATTTTGCAATGTTATCCGCAGCTGCTTGAATTTAGTGCATATTACGGTACCGACATTTAAAGCTAAGATTGCATGTAAATGTTTCCTTCATTCGACTTACGACTTCAAGATTTCTGCAACCAAAAGTTAGCGATTCGTGTGGCTGATGTACCCTCATGGCGTCGTCACTTGAAATATTTCCACTATTTATATTATACATATTTCCATTTCCACTTTTCCCAATTTTTATGAAAATGTGGATCTCCGATCCTAAAAAAAACGCAAGCACCGAACAGGTTTCGGTATGGAATGTCATGCTCTCAGGATTTTCTGGCAGGCGATGAAGCAAAAGCTGGAGGAATTTGCCCAGGCGCCGGAACACCGCCAGAGTAACTGTTGCGTCGTGGTCATCATGAGCCACGGATATCAGAGCCCTGGTGAAGATCCTGAAGGTTCATGGAGACCCTTGGGACAACAGCGTGGATCCACCTATCGGCCCTGTCCTTATGGCGTCTACTCCTCCGATGGGAGGGCGCTTGAGGTCGAATGGATCATTCAACAGTTCAGCATTGCCGAGGCCTTGAAAGGGAAACCGAAGCTCTTCATCATTCAAGCTTGCCGGTACTGGTCCCGACACTCCGAATCAATCCTTGCATCGAGCTGCGGAAAATATATTATTGTGACATTGTCATGGAATTTTCTATAGGGGAGAAGAACAACAACAAGCACGGGGGCAAAGTGGCAATTTGGTTGAGTCTGATGGAAATCGGTTTGGAGGGGCGTCCCAATATGAATTTAACGCTGATGATATTTTCGTGGCCAATTCCACCATTCCCTGTAAGCATTGTCGTAACTCGTAGTTAGACTTGGGCTTCCAAGTACGTAGGATGTGTTGAGGGATAGCTATATCTTAAAGGCTGGTTTCAATTGCGATGATTTTAAATGTGCATAATTTGGTTCATTCGATTTATCACAGACTACGTGAGCTACAGGAACTCGCAAGAAGGAACATGGTTTATCCAGTCAATTTGCCACGTTTTTGCGGAATCTGCTCACAACACGGATTTGCAAGGTTTGATAAGAAAGGTGAGTTTCCTCTCAGTAACTCAGTTCCTATTGGAACACGAAAAACAATATTAAGGATTGGTATTACTTATGTCCACGAAGGTCCACGACCGACTGGCCATGCACGAAGGACCAAACGGAGAGAAGCAGAGCGCTGAGCTGTGGGTCAGAGGGAAAACAAAGGCTTTGTTCTTCAATCCTGGTTTCGTGGATCCTTGAAGGCGATAATGCACATCTGCGTTATTCTGAAACGTTAAATTATTTTTATTTCCTTTCGGCAGGTTGATGAGCACACTCACTTCACAGTTTCAAAGTTCATTCAGCCTAGAGGAGACTTCCGATTGTACGAGTTTCGGCCTTTTTCATATCGATTCATTTTGGTCCTGGTCATCAATTTAAAAGAAACCCCTCTTTTTCAGTAATGCTTCGTCACTCGAAAATTGCTTGAACGATGAATCAATATTATACTTGTCTATCGTTAAATTTCGACACATCGCTAAACAAAGTTCAAAGAACCAAAAAATCAAAACGAGGGCAACACGATCCACTTTTGATAGCATCATTATTATACCATTATAAATGAAATCGTGAGCGGTGGAGTCTGAGAAAGGAAAAATTGGCCAGAATACTGAGCCCCACTTGAGATATGGCAACACACATCCTTTTCCCTCTTAAGCTTTCTCCCCACTCCCCTTCGAAGCACTTCTTTTCCTAATTGCTTTTATGAATTTACTGTCATTAACAGCATCAGGTACGGACTTGAGCGACGAGCTTTGCCATGGCAAAACGCGGTAAGAGCCAAGAGCGGAGCAAATTCACTTTTTCTACACTCTGGGATCATTTCGTTGTGGGTTCATTGGGGTATGCCTGTAGCACTATTGACAGTAGTCTTAGGTTCACATTGGACGTGTAATGCCTGTAGATTTATGAATCCTTTTTTTCCCCCATTTACTTTTCAAAACCAGACCTGTGCATCTACATGTACAGCCTCGCCTCGAAACGGCGATAATTGGTGTTTCGTCACAAAAAATTAGTCTGAAATGCGAAATTCATTTTTTTTCATTCTAGACTAAGAATTCCGAATAGTTCTCTTAATTGACATTGTTTTGCCGAAAATCCTTCCAGTATGCGAGGTATTATGCAAGGTAATCCATTTATTACCTTTGCATTATTTAGCGCTGCAATCGAGTCTGTTATTGAGTCACGTCATATGTTAGACAAGGCTTTCACAAAAGCTCTAACAGATTTAGTAAAAGCATGGCCGTTGGTGGTAAACTTGTTGAGGCTGACATGTAAGCAATCTCTTTCGAGTTTCCCGCATAAGAAGTTTGTGGTGCATCTATAAATGAAACACGGTGTATATGCCCGGCAAAGAAATACATTTTTAACGGGCACTGCATATGTTGCTTGTGCATCAGGAGGAAGAGCTTCGGAAGAAAGTCTCCTGCTTTGCAGGGCATCTATGAAGTATCTATCTATACGCACAGTTTTCACCATTGTATTTGAGCGAAACATTCGTTTTTTGTTGGTAGATTGACCATTAATAGAACTCGGAGCAATGTTCCTCTTTCCACGTTAGTGAATCCGTCAATTAACAGGGTTTCAAAAACAAAACAAACTTAGGAGATGCCCGAACAGGTTTTACTCTGTGGAATGCGTATTAAGAAAATCTTACAAAATCAGGAAGTATATACATGCACACATATATTTTCTAAGCCGCTTTCCCAATTTAATGGGGTCGCGGTTCAGGAAATATACTCGTATTTCCAACTTAATTAGGCGATGAAGTAAAATTTAAGGAAGGACGAAGGCACCACAAGGTTGCAATTTTTTATATTTATGTTACATGACGCTCATCTGGAGAATAAAATGAAGCTGTTGAGGACAAAAATATTTTGTACGTGTCGATATCAAAACTGGCCCTAAGTGTGATCAAATTTGCAGTTAGTCCATTCTCACGTTACTTTAAATTGGAATAACTAATATTGGAGCATTTTTCCTGGACCTCACTAATATCTTTCCTAGAAGTCCAAAAATACTGCGACATCGCTTAATGGAATTCTTCAGAAGTGACGAGGCTCTCAAATATTCTAGAGAGTAAAACATGAGACGTCTCAGTTATTTATTGTTTAGCAAGATTGGAAGGAGGAGAGATGCGCCATCATACCGAGGTGTACAGACCGACAGCCTACACGCGCAACTAATTACGTATTAGACAAAGTAACCAATACAACGTAACTATATGTACATCCTATATCAAAGATTGACCATGTTTACGATGCTTTTTTTTCTGCTTAGGGTTGGATGCCTCAGCTCCCAAATGTATATCAGTGTATACATATTCAGCAGCTCCCCTCACTTTTAGAACGTGTGCCTCCTCTTGATCCAAAAGGGATTGTGTAATATTGGCGATCCCTATGGCAATCCCTGCAGACAACCGTGGACGAAGAGCAACTGAGCATCTGGGAGTATCAAACACAACCTTATGAAACACCGGTAAATTTACTTTACTTAAAGTATAATAACATAAAACCATTATTCAAAGGATTTCCCCGTTCTTCGAAGCCATCCACAAGCCATTAGTTCAGGCCTAAGCCTACCTTCTTCCTTCAAAAGAACCTTAGGTCCTGACTTAGCTCTCCAATTTGGTTTTAAGGATAAATGTTTGGGTTTACGCTACCTCGTTGAGAATGAGCAACGTCAGACTGATTCTGGGCGTATTATGACTTCAGTAAACCATTTCAGTGAGGACGTGTAACAGTATGCCTATCTGGAGATTCTCTTACCATCTAGATGAGGTCTATGGAGAGCATGCTTCCGAAATTCAACTTCACGTTGGACGTCATCCTGGTAACTCAGGAATGTTCGTGACCAATGTTTCCATATACCGCAGCTTTGATCAGCCACCACTAACCACCGTTTCAATCTCAACTTATCCCATAAACCTAGCACAAAAATGAACCTTACATTAAAAACCGAGGGACCAGACACCCAAACGAAAGCCGAAGCTGTCATGAATCTGAAAAAAACTCCAGCACGATATCCGGCAATTCTGGGGTGTGCGATTCGAGCCAGCACGCTAAGCCTTAATTAACCAGGACTAATTTCATATTGCATAGCAAAATTATACATCGCAAACAACAAAATGACACTCATCGTGATATTTATATAATAAGATCTACTGTTGTCCGTGATGGTGGTCGGTAGTTCGTGGCATGCGCGCACACATGACACACGCTAGCGCTCAGCGAGATCGCGTTGACTCAATTGACAAAGACACCGATGTGAGGGGTATTCAGAGAGGAGGCGAGGGCGCAGATGCCCCTGGTGACTAGCGACATCTTTCTCTCCTTCGAATATTTAGGCTTTTTCATAGGAATCAAACTATGTACTGGAAACGATGAACCGTATGCATAGCCACGTTGTGTATGGGAGACCTTCCTTGCAGTCTATTTTAACAAAAAAGGCTCCAAGTTATCAATTTCCCATCGGCTCAACAATGTAGAAACACTGGATCGGACTTCGATGGACAATCCCAGATCCACGTTAGATAGGCCTAATCTAGCCTACATGAGTTCGGCGTGGGGAATGATACTTCAGAATCCAGGAACGACGTCCAAAACTTCACCTGTTTTATTGAAATATTATCAAGGAAAACAGTAATGGGTGACACGAAAACCTAGTTTTTCACTATGGCATTAAATTAAAATGTATATATATATTGTGTATTTGGGGGGGTTCATATTGATTTTCCTCTCTTCAGCAGGAAATTAATCATCATCGTTGTCGCCAGTGTCATCACGATATCTGTACTTGAGAATGTAACTCCTAGTTTCTGCGTCGATCCGCTATATCACACTCCCCATGCACCGTTGTCGAAGTCAAGTGAAAAAATGTCTAACTCAAGTGAAAAACACTGTACCACCTGTTACGGCAATGGATAGGCGGCCTCCAGTAACTTACCTCCACGCAGACAGTCGTCGCAATAGCGATAGGAAATAATCGGATTCCCGTGAGACCGATACTTACGCGTCGAGTCAAGTATATTTTGCAACATCAACTCGAAGACATTCGAAGTTTCCTGAGTTACGTTTCACATTCACCGATTCCTTGAGTAATGTGCTATCTACTAAGTCAAGAAATTAATTGGACTTGGGTGAATTTGGCACTGCTAATGCTTTATTATGTGAGACTGTCTTGAATGAACAGTACTTCAAAATCTCGAATCAAGATTCAACCAAGAGAATCTCATCGTACGATATGCATGGTGATACAGCGGGAAAATTTTGACGGCAATATTACCCCAGACGCCTGAAAAATCAATATGAAACTGTTCCCATCTCCCTTTACGCATTGCAATCCACAATGCTCACACTTCATAGTCGCAAAACTGAAAGCCATTATTTTTCAATCCCCCCTGTTTGATGTTGAATTGCAGGAGATCGAGAAATCGAGAGGTAGTGAGAGCAGTATGAGCAGAAGCAATGTCTCTTCATGGTGATGAAATATCTGCCGCTTTGACAAAATACCAAGATGTGTTTCAACAACATACTAATCTCGAAACGATCCTCTCATGCTTGAAAAGAAATAACTTAATCAAGGATGATGAGTACATGCAGCAGATGCAGCAGAAGGAGGAGAAGGAGAAAAACTTAACGTTGTTTCTCTTCGATAAAATTAATCGTGGAGGTGATAATGCCTTTCCGACGTTGTTGAAGTGCCTCGAAGGTAATTACCGGAGTTTAGCAGAAGACTTGTTGAAGGCCGTGGAGGAAAAAAAGGAAGAATATGCAAGGGATCTTCGCTTCAGTAAGTACAGCCAATCCGCTTCTTTTCATATATTTTTTTGTTTGCTGATGCCGTTCCGAAATGGATTCAGTGCTAGGAAAGACGTGTGCTTTACGAATGAATGAACATTTCAGAGTATAACCTTCTCTAGACTCAAGATGCTCCATCAACAGATATTTGATAGTAAAGAGTACAAATGGTGTGCGTGGATCACCTCGAAATACATGACTTCACTTTTTTTTCCCGCTCCTCGTCTGCTCTTGGGGCATCTTGCCGAGAATGCGCTATGGCCGGTGGCAAGCCGACCGATAGGCCGATAGGCCTGAATGAAGCATGGCAGGGTCCGACCCACCCATAAATATTCGATTGAACAGCTCCAGTAGTCAACTTCTCAATAGTCACCCTAGCAGCACAATGACTATCGTAATCCCGATTATGCTGGGCGATGACTTAGCCTGTGTGGAATACCTGTGCTGAACTCCTGCCGGTTTTGATTCTCTTTGGGCACCCTCAATAGAAGCTCCAGTAAAATGGTTGGACCTGAGATACCTTGTACTTCGGTCTTCCCGCATCACTGAGGTCCATCCTTGGGACATGGGCGCTCGAACCATTGAGGAACTTCTCGGCGCGGAGAGTTGTCTTACCAGGATAAATTCTGCAGGCCATCGTCAGCCTGAATAATGGGAAATATCATAGATAGATGGGCATAGATGGGTGCTCGTGGTTGTATAGGGTGTGTCAGATCGCTTGGGAATCGGGGACAACACCTAGGGACTGACAAGCCTGTGTGGTCGTTCCTCTCTTTTAAAACTATCACTTGAGGGAGTACTCTTGAATAGGGTTGAACGCAATAGCATGTAAGACAATGCATGCATTTCTGCATCTAATATATATAGACGATCGTGACTGACTGACTGCAGTCAGATATGCTACGTATACACCATAGAACCCAGCACATCCAGTNGCTGAGTAAAGGAAAAATCATAACTTTGAAATATGTCTCCTTAGCGTAGATTTTGGAGGGAGTTTTTTCAAAATGTATTCTCCACCCTTACAAAAAGGGACACAAGAAAAAATTTCAAGTAAGGCACACAGAATCATAGAGGTAATGATTTTGATGAAAAAATCAAGACATTCGACCCCATATGTCACGCATGTCAATGGGGACGTGCTTTAAATACGTGTTTCCCATTTCGCAAAAAATGAATTAATCACTATCCAAGGTAAGGAAGCGCCGAAGGCGCGACCATAGCGAGTTTGTTTGCCCTTCGGGCAAACAAACTCGCTAGTATACCATAATCTCCCAGATAAGTAACAATGCATTTCCTCATTCTTGATGCAACGCTTTCTAACTCTATCCCATTTTTACTCTATCCTCTCGCAGAATTGGGTTGGCAATCTCCACGTGACATTGAAACGCCCCCGTCCCCAGATAGGTATGTGAATGCCGTGACACACTCCAAGTAGCTATAAAAAGATCCAAGTTTGAAGTCATACATGCATGAAAATGTTCATTTTCCTTGAAGCACTGTTGTAGATGCAGAGCCAGCCAAGAATAAGCAAAAAATGTATGGTCATGATAGCGAGGACATATTCGATTACTCTGCATCCTCGTCGACACCTATGCACGCTGGGGACGATGGCAATCTTCATGATCCTTTGGTGAGTCGTTTCCATACTTATTGTAGGGCAGCTTGCTGAATGATTAACTTGTTTCGAAGCTTAGGTACATTCTTTTGTCGCCGGATTGGTAGAAGTCGTGCATCTGGATGCGAATAGCGGGAAGAAAAATATTTATGAATTTTGTAACGAGTTTTGACATTTTGAAATTTAACATTCTCGGAAGTGAACGTTAGTCCCATCAATTTCCGTCTTTCTATTATGCTAATCAGAGAAGCTAGAGAAATTTCAGCCAAAACCCTGTGCAACGAGGACAACTTGATCAACATCTGGAACGCTTCTTATGTCATCAAACGGAGTGTCTAAGGTTTCTCCATTTCATGGTTTGAATCTCTATTCTTTCAGGTTAAGTGCACGTGTCAGTTTGGAGAAAGACTGAACAACATCGCAATTCCAAGCACATGCCGTCAGGAAATTAGATTTGATATCCGCGACCACATTCAGGTCAGTGGCACGAGCAACATGGCACCATATACCATATGCATAAAAAAGTTCCAGGACTGGTCTTTGGACGTGAAAACGACGTAGACAAGTTAGGCTTCAGTATGATCCTCTTCGAAAAAGCTCCCTTGGCTGGCGATAAACTTCTCACGTTTTTAAAGAGCATGACACTGACCTAACAGCACATACCATTGAAGCAACATTGTTTCGTTGTTGATTTAACATCCAGACGTTGAATCAACGTTGAATTAATGTTGATTCAATGTTATATGCTACTAGAGTGGCTGCCAGCCATTCTAAGCAACCACTTTCAGCACGTTGGTTGCAGTTGATTGGAGAGAGCCTGCGTCGATTAAGCTGCGGCCATTCAGGTGGAACTTCATCTGGGAGACAGGGTGAAGTCACAAGTCCTGAGATCCGGTGAATAGGGAGGATGTGAGATCATTCTCCCCGCACGATTGGTTAGAAATTATAGTACGACCAAAGGACTGATGTAGCGGTTACTGCAAACAAGATCAGGAAGGGTATCCACAGTTTCCAGAGTATGGCTTTTCAATGGCCGTTCGCTGAATTTGTCGTCTTTATTGAATTCATGCCCTTCGCAGAATCGACAGTGCAACTCGCAAACGCACGAGAATTAGGATATCGAACAGCCGTACTAAGAAAACTGAGCAGGCCCATTCTCAGCTTGTCTGCAGCAGCCTCCGGCAATAAATCAGTACCATGGCAGTGCCATATGATTTTTGACCTATCGTAGTGTGAAATGGCCTACATCATCAATATTCACCGCACCTCAAGACTTGTGACTTCATACCGTTTTCCAGGTGAAGTTCCATCTGAAAGGTTGCAGCTTCGTCGACGCAGGGGCTCGAAAATTAGGTGTAACCAACGCGTTGAAGGTGGTTAGCGAGAATGGCTTACAACCAGTGTTCCTGCTCTTTACAAACGTGGGGAGAAGTGTATCGCAGGCTAGGGGAGATATTTCGAAGGAGAGCGTACTGAAACCTAATTTTTCCCCGTAATTTTCTTGTACAAAGGTCAGTCCTGGAACCTTTTGACGGGTCCTCGAAAGTGACAGATATCGTGCTTCTGATTCATTAGTGTCCCTGCATTGATATTCTTTTCATTTAATGAAGGATGCTGAAAGAAAAACAACTATCTGCAGAGCCGTGTGAAATTTCACACATTGCCAGGAAATGTATGGATCACCAGCGTTTTTGACTGCTTTCATTGCTGGATCCTCGACGATGCAGCAAGTCGTGGCTAGCTAGCGACGCTGCATATTTATTTTGCCCAAATGCGACATGCACTATATCTCTTTAAGTTTGGTATATTTCTATGCAGCTATCGAAAAATTGAAGCTCTTTATTAGTTATTTCTAAGTGATCAAATAAATCATTTTCATTTTTATTCACTGTTCTGCAAGGGAAATCAATTATTTGGGTCTTAGCTTTTTTTCATACCCACTGTTTCAGGAATTCCATATCCCAATGAATAGCTTCCGGGACTGATCGAAATTTGACATTGAAACCGGAAAAGAGTTGGAAAGAGGCAGATCATTTCTTGTACGCAGGTCTATGTCATGCGTAGTAATGTGGCGAAGTAATGTATAATGTAGTAGTGATGTAATGTAGTAGCATTGTAGTAATGTAGTAGCGAAGTAATGTGTAGATTTTAGAAGCAACTGGAATAATATTTAAACTAGTTTCTTTTATTATTTTATTCAGGTGTACTTGGGCGGTGGCAAAGCATTGCCTTTCAGCGAGGCATCCAAGGAGTATGTGAACCGATACTACACAAAGGTTGGGGAGACTCATCATTCTTTCCCATCGGGCTTCCTCCTCAGAAAGGAGGAACTCGACGAGAGAGAAGGTCTACAATATATTCTTTCAAGTGAGAAAACAGAAATATACAGAGGGACTTCATCATACCGCAAGCAATGCGATGACCATGTGTGAGAAAGACATGCATGTTTTCAAGTCTATGTGTGGGCCCTTCCTAAACGATTCTGCCACAGTTGTTGCTTTACCTGCTTTTCCTTTCATAGAGAGGGTGAAGCTGCGTATATTCCTTAATTGTGACAGGTGTCAGTGGAAAATCTTGACGAGAGACGATCTTACGAGTCCAGGAGCCCTTCGACGATTCCTCAGAAAGAACGACGTGGAAGAACTGCCTGGAACGATTGCAAAGTGCACACAGAGAGCAAACATATTGTTTCAGGATATATTTTCCCTTTACATCTGTGGATCATCTTCCGTTGAAGTGCCACGAACTCATTGTGAGTATTTTGAAGACAGCACTGAACAAATGGAAAAAGCGTTGTGTATTTTGACTCCGGATCAGAAGAGACTCGTGGATGAAAGATCATGGCTCCTCCTCATTGCGGGAGGGCCAGGCACAGGAAAGACTATTGTAGTGAAAGAAAGAGCAAAACAACTTGGTACAAATGATCCCAATGCGGAAGTGCTTGTAGTGAACCTTCCCGGGGGACTTCTGACAAAAGACTATCGGGATACCATACAAGAAAATTGCACTGATCAAGGTCAGATGACAATCGGCACGTTCTTGGAGCAAAACGAATGATTGCGTGAAGGAGAATGTGTCCTTGTTTCAATTGAATTATTTTCTCCGTGTTCAGTGTCATATCTTCCAAGCTTTAAGAGTTCGACATGCATGCCATTTATGAAAGTCTCTCATATTGTACGGAATTGAATTTCGTAATATAATTATTCAAGAGGTCAATGCAAGATGGATCAGTGGGAAACATGACAAAGATTGGATATTTGGTACAACATTTTTAACAACAGTTGCACTAAGATGGTTCCTTGTTATGCTCAGCAGCTTGATTTGCAAAGAGTTAGCAGTACCCTAGCTTGTATGATAATATTTGGGTTTTTGTTGAAATGCTTATCATGAGTATAGTATTTGGTCAGGGAAATGCAGAAGAGGAGTAACAGAGGGGCGAATGCAGATTCATTTCTTGCTCGACCTTGATGGTGAACGTAAATTTCCACACAATCAGTTTTCAAGACTCATTTCACCCAATTTCATCATCATTGATGCGTCATGCATGCCCTGATCTTTATTGCCAGCGTTGGCTTTCGATGAGTCGGAAACTGCTCTAATTTTAACAAAAACTAAATGACGAATGAGAATCGGGAGTCCTTGGAGAGACTAATGGAAAATCTGACTTTCGGTATTCTCATACGTACTTTCAGGTCTGAAGAACATCACGATATTGGATGGAAAGGAAGAGTGTATATTGGAAGACCGTCAGGAACTCTTCGCCTTCCTCCGGAGAGAGGGAAAGGGGAAACACGTGCTGCTGGATGAAGTTCCCCTCACTCTAGGGATCCAAGGTCGCCTGGATGAGATGAGGCTCTCAGTATATTGGAAGACCGTCAGGAACTCTTCGCCTTCCTCCGGAGAGAGGGAAAGGGGAAACACGTGCTGCTGGATGAAGTTCCCCTCACTCTAGGGATCCAAGGTCGCCTGGATGAGATGAGGCTCTGACTCGTGACCCGCCTCCAAAGATGAAACTTTCCCGTACACTCGTCAGAGTGAAAGAGTAAGGCAGGCTTACTACAGCGGATGTGGGCCCTATATTCTGAGGTCCTGTAGTTCTAGCGTCTGCGACTTATGAAAATCTTGAATGTTGTGAAAAGGAACACACGTAATGTTACTGACTTGTTCTTGGCCCTTGGAAATTATGTACGCAGGATATTTGTTTGCCAGGAACCCACTATTCGTGAAATGGTATTTTGCGAACCTCAGAGAAGAGAATTGATCCCTACATTGTTTCCCATACCATCTTGCTCTGAACTTCATGATATTTGCGAGGACAAAGAGACTTGCGAAGCCGTTAGGTCTTCCTATGTCATTCTGAAAGGCATGGATAACTGCATCAAACATCAAGTGGATAACATGGATACTGCATCAAACGGGCCAATATACATTGTTGTGGACACCATCGTACGAAGAAATCGCCTGATGGTTATTCTTAAACACTTATATGGCACAGAAGTTAGATCCTTGGACACGTTTGAACGAATTTGTGAATCACCATCCGGCTCCATTTTCATTGTGACAGGTGATCAGATTCTAGGGCATCACATTAGAGACCCACTTTTTATCCTAGACTTGCAGGATTGCAAATGGAGGAATTATATTCGAATGATTTCCTCATGCTATAATAATATAATTATTTTTTTGGACGAGGAAGCTCTTAGCACTGGAAAATATTCCGAGATTGTTCCGAAAAAGACGATTGAGAAAATGATGGCTGCGAATAAGGTGGTATATGAGGAAGGACTCTTGGAGAAGTTGGAAAGTGCGCGGAAAATGAAAGGCACCAGGTCTGTTGCGCAACTTGACGAAACATCAGGGAACCAGTCTATCCCACTTACCAAATGGTATGCAGGTTTGCAAGGATTGAAATTGATCCGTGAAATTGACGACTTTCTTCTTCCTAAGACTCCACTGACTGTCATCTTCGGACCCCCTTCTTCTGGGAAAAGTAAGCAATTGCTGCAAAGGATCAACCAACTCGTGGATATTGCTCGTCAAAGCCACAACGAGTACGGAATACTCTTACTCCATATGGGGAGCGCCCTTTGTCAAAAGGACACTTTGGATCGCCTCAGCAGTAATCCGATAAACATGCTTGACATTGAGAGAGTGAAAAGCTTGTCTCCCGTAGAGATGATCAAATACGGAGGAGTGGCAAGGGTGCAGTGGAAATGCCACTGTTCAATCATCCATATTTATGTAGATGATTATTGCATCGAAGCTGTAGACGCTGAGAAAGAAATAGAAGAGTGGACACGGGCGCTGGAAGAATTAACCAGGGCAACTCTAACCCTCACCCTGACGGTCGTTTTTCAAACTCATTCTAGAGGCGGTAGAGAAATCTCCATGGAGAAGCTGATATCGTTTTTCCAAGATCGCAATGATTCGAAGGTGATCAAGTTACATGAACCTGGGACATCCCCTGACTGTTGCACGAGCAAACAGCTTCTCCACCACATTTATAACAACGAGACATGTAACCCTTTGCAGATGGCAGCCAAAACCCTGCCCACAGGATCGCGCCCGGGGGCTTGGGTCATTGGTTCCAAGCCTAAGCGTATCAGCATGAAATACCTCTGTCCTGGCAGTCACCTGGATTTGAGTTGCAAGGGACAAGAATGTTGCTTGCCATATATAGGCGCGTATGTCTGTTTTCTCTCCGCCTTGTCGCAGGAGATACTTGGTGAAGTTGTTTATGTGCTCATGCCTGATAGAAAGCTAATGAACTTTCTGCAGACAATTAGTGGAGAGCACGCGAGAAGGCTGCACTTTTTTCATCCTGAAGAATTCCGAGGGTGTGAATCTAGTGTTACCATCACAGTAAATGTGGATGATTCTTGGATTTTGGAAAGCCTGTCCAGAGCAAAGACGCACCTCTACATCATTGACTGCTTACCAGAGCATCAGCAAGTTTGGCGCACAATGCAAGAAGAAGGACGCATCGAGGAGGAGGTTCTTACTCACAACGTTCCTCTTGAATCCGGAATCCTTCTCAGCCTGAATAATATTGGAAAGTTCCTCATATTTGTGAGTTTCTCATTCACTGTTTTATTGAAACTTCAGTTTTACTTGCCTCTCCCTTTTCTCAGTCACGAAGCTCCCAAATCTTTTCCCTCGCAACTCCTCTGATCCTCAATTGTATCGGGTTCACTCTCTTCATCTAATTTCCATTGGAATTAGATTTAAAGAGAGATTAAAGTTACTTAAGTGAATAAAAACTCCACTCACTGGATTCAATTATTTTTGGAAAATGCTGAATTAAGAATCGTTTCCTCCTCCTTTCTTATAAAAAAAAATGAAGGCGCTTCAAAATTCACTTGTCGGAAAGGATTCGACCCCACCTCAATTCGATGCACCTTGCTTATAGACCTTCCGTCCTGGAAATGTCAATGATCTTGATTCCACCATCCGCTATCCAGGTTAACTACGATTTAGTGGTGATATGACGCATCGTCCTCCTTCATAGGGTACTGCATAAAATTCAGCAAAAGCAGAGCGATCACCTAGGCTTCCAAATTAAATTACCACATTTTTGGAATGATTATGAGGGCGGGGATCTGTACAACGCGTCGGTATATGGTTAAAATGAAACGAGCTTCACAAGAGACTGGACTATGTTCCATGAAGAAACTATCCATGGTTGTCTTGCCCACAATCCAGTAGGACATAGTGATTTAAATTTCATAAATGTGAGAAGAAAAAAACAAATGAAACGACTCGAAGTGACAAGGACATATTTATATGGTGCAATTATCATGGGATGACATGTAGAACATAAGAAAATTAAGATGTGAAGAACATAATGTTACTCCTTCGAAAATCGTAGGAATGGTTAGTCACCGGAGGTAGCAGAAACTTTACCTAAATGGTGAGGAATGCTTTTAATTTTAGAATGTTGATGACTGAACGCAGGTGCATCTTTAGTGTGATATCCCCATCGAAGTTAACTATGAATTTTGGTGAGAGTACCACTTATCAACAACTGTCATCATGTTGAAGTGTATAACATTTTCTTTACATAGGATTGCCCAAAATGTGAGGAATTCTCTCATCTGGGATTGCTGAGTGTCTATAGAAGAAGAGGGAAACTGGATATAAGGGAACATCTGAAAGTATATAAAGGTGAAAGACCCCCAGAGGAAATTGCGAGCGCATATGTGTCCCAGGACTACCCTGAAGCATATGTTAAGTCTTACTCCTTGCCTGAGGGGTTCATTTTGAGCGACAATAAGTTTAATGATCTAAAGACAAAGGCTTTCAAAGGCAAAGAAGACGTGTCCTTGCCATTGGACCAGCTGTCCATTGCTGTGGTTTTCGATCGAGTGAAGCATGCGTTGAAGGATGTGCCATCACTGATTATGGCTGATTACGAATTTACAGATACCTTCTTCAAGGGAATCAATCAGCAACAGAAGGATCATTTCATCAAGAATTTCGGAGTTACAACGAAGGACCTAGAGACCGGGTGTCATGGTGTCTTTGGCATTGGAATATCTGGCAAGGACATAGTGGGACTATTCTTTCAAGTTAAAGCCACAACGTCAAATGCTAACCACAAAACAATCCTTGATTCGTTGGCAAAAGCAATGAAGCAAGTCAACAAGGACTTCAACGTGTTTCGGGTTGTGTGCGGGAACTTCCTAAATTCGATAGTAAAGTTAGCGGGATTCGTAGCCCTCCCGATGCTCCCGAAGTCGAAGTTGCAGAAAGAGATCAAATGTAAAGAATGCAGGGCACGAATCCTCACCTCAGAAGACTTGGACGGTCCAGGAAGTTTCACAACGTTTTTGGACAGACAAGGGATAGTATTAGAGAAGACATGGGACCGGAATCCGGAGTCCCTAGTTTTGAAGACCTTCAAGGAGATCTTCGACCTATACGTCTATGCAGCATCGGGATTAGACCTACCTCGCAACCAAACGCAATTGTTAATCAAGAGCGAGGGACAAATGAAGAAGATGTCGGAAATTCTCACACCGAAGCAACGAGAATCAGTGATGAGCAAAGAAAAGTTTATGTTCATCTGCGGAGCTCATGGGACAGGAAAGACATTTCTGATCAGGGAAAGAGCAACTGAATTGGCAAAGACTGGTAAAGTATTGGTAGTGAATTTGGCTGGAGGACTCCTCACTGAAGAATATCAACGTTACTTCAGAGGTGAGTGAGACTAATCTGCTCATGTTAACCATGCCGAATCGCGCTAATAAATCTCGCTGCTAAATAGTGGAATCATGCTGGTAGACTCGTAATCGCTTCGACATTGATGTATGTTTGGAAAGTGCTGTCATTTTCACTTCTTTTTATCCATAATTCCCGGCTGAAAGACGTCACTCATGAGGAACATCCCGAATAACCCGACATTCTCTTAGTCCATGCTGAGTCCGTGAACATTATTATTCATTATCATTATTTATGGTTAATGCGTTCACAAAAATCGGCTTTAAAAATTAGTTTCGCACGAGTGGCTGGTCCTACATGAATACACCTATCATGAAATCACCATCCATCCATATCCATATTATCAGTACATTAGAATACGCTGAGATTCATGGTAGGTGTAGCCTATGGCCTATAAAGCTTTAGCCCCACAAGAACATAGGCTAGGTAGTCCCTCATCCTATATGCCTTTGCTTTTCCGGATCATAGGCTTGGTAGCCAATAGCCCTACGAGATTTATCCTTTCCATGTCATAGGCTAGGCGCGTTTCGCAATTCGTCCATGCAACTGATTTTGCCTACAAGGCTTTGCCTCCTGCAGGACCTAAACTGCGTGGGATTTGTTAAACAGCTTAAGAATATGTGATATGATTTGATGCGCCCGCATTAGAATAGCGGTGAGGCTGCGTAGGTCTGCACTGATCTATGAGCAAATATGAAGATATAACGGAGAGGAGGGGTGCATTGATTGTAGAGCGACATAAGGCTGTCGACATGTAGTTTAATGCTGATTCCAGACAAAAACAGTTTTGTACGAACACCTTGCACCACTTTCGCTCGATTTACATAGGGTATATTACAACTGCGTTGTTAGAGTGCCCTTAAGTTGTTTAAATGATGGCGGGATGCGTAGCTTATGGACAGCAAACCATGAACATTGTCCGCTCGTGCTGCAATACCTTTGACACACACTGTAGATACTGTACAAATAAATGAAGAGGATATTGCCATTTGCCCTAATTTCTGAATATTCCCACATTTCCAGGCATTCCTTGAAGCTGATAATTTTTTGTTTCATTGGTTTTTTCATTTGCTGTTATTAGCAAGAAGTTAACATGGATTGGATTGTTGAATAATTCTGAATCTTAATCCCAGCAAAAAGGATAAAAAATAATCCACGCGCAAAGTTCAAATCGGAAGAAGGAAAATATGTAGGAATACTGAGACCTGAATTCGGAGCAGGTGAAAATAAATGTTTTGATAATTTGCGATATTTAAATTAATCTCACGCCATTCTTACCAATATAATATATATAGACGATCTTGACTGACTGACTGACGCTAGTTCTAACCATGTTCTAGAGAAGTTAGAAATCTGAAACTTGGTATACAAGTAGCTATTGGGATGGAGAATTCAGAAAAAATCCAATTTTGGAGGTACATGCCCTGGTTGACATTTCAGTGGGGTGACTGACTTTGCAAGCCTAGGTCTAGCCCCCCCAGACGGAGGTTTAGGTTTACGCCATTCTCATGCACACATTCCTTCCTCTGTCACTGAAGAAAGTGCATGTAACTGCTATGTTGTTCACTTAGGAGGAATTCCGACTTCGAGAGGGGGGTGGGGTTACATGCCCTGGGGGCAATTTTCAAGGGGGGGGGGGTGATTTCGCAGGCCCAGGTCTAACCCATGGATGGGCGCTTAGGCCAATACCATTCTCATGCACACTCTTTTTCTAAAGAAGAGGAATGGAGAACAAGCAGCTGTTGGCTTGCAAACTACAGATAACTGTTCGACATTAGAGTTACGTGCCCTGAAGGGATTGATTCAGCAGGCCCATATCTAACATTTGATCGACACTCAGGCCTACATCGATCTCGACTCAATGGCTTCGAGGAACTTTTCGTTCTATTTGAACGGGAAACTTTGTGTTAGCATGCGGCGCGTGGTCTTTCCCCTATGCCTTTCTAAGTCATAGGCTAGGTAGAAGGACTTGGGCTGATGCGTACCGGAATGTTTGTGCATGTGGTTTCTTTTTTTGTAGCAGGGAGACGGCAAGGAAGACTTTCCCAAGACTTTCCGATTTAGAGTGGTTATGTCCAATGCAGGACGTTTAGACCAATGCCATTTCTAAGCTTATACAGCCTCTAAGCAGGAACGTAAATAGCCGTGTACTGCCTTCATGAGTGACGTATTTCCTCATGTACAACTGTATGTAGCATTAGGTAGAGTTAGATGAATGGATTCCATAAAAGAACTTGTGCCTCAATGTAGATACGAAGGTAATGAAAGAACTCCCCATACAGTGCACGCACTGACAAATGTTACTTTGTGATCCTCATGCTACAAGCCACATGGCGTTAATAAGAATATGTTCTAAGACACCTTTTTTTAAGGTGTCAGAGCCAAAGGTGTGGGAATTGAACCCATGAGCAAAGGAGTTTGACCGCATTACTAGGAGTGAGCATCGAAAACGAATGCCTTAAACTGAAATACATGAGTAATTTCCTTTCGGTCGTAGAGCGCCGAAGGCGCATCAATAGCGAGTGAAAGAATACATTGACTCAATGTGCAGACATGAGATGGTCATTTGCATCATAAAAGTCAACATGACGCCACTAGCATCCCGGGTGTCACAACCATTACCCACTACACAATGCGAAACTAGGCCATATGGCCTGGACACACATTCCAAAGGGATGAAGGTAGTTATGACCACCCCCAGCACATGGTTTGCCTCGTCTCTGCACTATTATACTTGTATTAACGGATGTAAAATTTGGCAAGCTCTTCATGTTCTCTTGATCTTCATGATCAAGACTCGTGCCCTCCGTGAGCCCTGCACAATCCAGCGATGGTGATGCTACCTGGGATGATGGAAGCTCCATCTCGAACTCAAACTCAGGCAAATGTCCTTCCCGTGTCATTATGTTTACCCTGCAAGTTAAATGATCCAACTCTACGTCGTTCGCTACTGCACTGTAAATACCCAAAAATACCTTATATCCACTGTGTATCCCGAGCTATGAATGTCTAATCAACGAACGCTATTGGGATATTCGCGAAAGCTAACAGCAAGATAAAACTTCTCAATTTCAATATCGATTGTCTGGAGCTCAGCACTTTATTGCAGCAAAGACAATTTCTAATGTGAAAAAAGATTCCTTACATAAAATCTCAGGGAAATGTTCATTCTTGAGTCATGTGAATGTGGGTAGGCACAGATAATCAAAAGATTCGTTTGCTTCTCGAGGATGAAGTGATTTAAATCGCACACGTAATTGCATAAGATGCATAGTACGAAGACAAAACAGCTGTGGTAAGGGGCTCCCGTTTCCCCAGGGGTTGTTTTCTTTAATTGCTCTCATTGACAATATATTTATCTAGATCGATAGGGGAGACGGGAAACCGTTACACACGGGTAATTCTGGAAAAAATGGTTTTATTTAAATGAATTCATGTATTTGCTCGATCCTGATTTGATACAGACGTCTCCCATTGTTTTCAGATTCGAGGAATTCGACACAGTCTCATGCAAAGCCTTCCTTTGGACGGTCCAGAGATATTCCCGAGAGTGAAGAAATGATACCCCAAAATAGATGTATTAAAAGAGGTATGTCAATATGATGAACAGATTTCCATCCCACCGTTTGATATTTGCAGCTTATATATCGTAGCCCTTGAAGGAAGACATATTCTGATTTATGCTTCTGAGAACATCATTAAATATCCCATCAGAAGCCTCAGGTCAATACTATGCAGAACTGAAAGGTATACAGGGTCAGTGGCGGATACAGGGGGGGGGGCGGGGGGGGCGACCGCCCCCCCTATGGCCAGGTTAGGGTTTGATTTATTTATTCAAAATAGCATCTGCATTAAATTTTATTGGAGCCAGTGAAATAGATACTCAAGTTCTTACCCCAGACGAAAAATGAAGGCGAAAGGACGAGGAATGGTGGTAGGCGGGGTGGGGGGTAGGTANACTCAAGTTCTTACCCCAGACGAAAAATGAAGGCGAAAGGACGAGGAATGGTGGTAGGCGGGGTGGGGGGGGGGGGTAGGTAGGAACTTTGGAACCGCCCCCCCTATGAAAAATTTCTATATCCGCCACTGTACAGGGTGTTCCAAATGTTTCTGACCCACCCCCACAAAATATAGCTAAATACTATGTCAGCCACTAAGAAAACATCCTGCTTATCTACTAGGGCTACATCCGGGCGATCAGGTCAGGTAGAGAAAAGACTGTGCCGATGCAGGTCGGAGGTCCATAGCACTAGGCTTGCTTTGCGTTCCACTTCATTAGCGCTTTCGCTGCCAAGTCATTCTTTGAGGGTCGTTACCCTGAGGCCAAGGTAATCCCCATAATTCTGGTGTGCATGCCTCAAGCGTTTCCGCGAAAAGTGGGGAGGGAGCCTCTGGAGATGATGAACGGGGTGGATGCAATCGACAAGCCGTAATGAGGACACTTTGAGTTTGTCCGCAATGGCTGCCGGAAATCAAACGGTACCTACTGAATTTCTAACCAATGTTGGAGTACCATTGCTACCACATTCTTCGTATTCTTTGGAAGTTTGCAACTTCACGCAGATTCCAAAAGTGAGTTGCTTTCTATAAATGGCCGCCGCTTCGAAGTCACGTCGCTTGCCAGTCACCTGCGACCAACGCGTAGGACAAATTTGCCAAGAATGGCTTACAGTCTGTTCTAAGTTCTTCCGAAACGAAAGGAAATGTGTTTTGCAAATAAAATTGATATAGAGGCTTGGTTGGAAAAAAATTTAAATAACTTGAATATTTCATTTGAATAAATTCTGCGAACTGACTTGAAAATGTAAGGACACCTTGTTGACAAGTTTCTTAAAGAGCTATTGAAGTATATGCGTCCTTGCCCTTCTACTCTTGAGTTATGGCAGATTTAATCGATTTGGTAAAATTTTCCGAGTTAACAGGCATGTGTCTGCCAATGGTGAGACAGAATTCCACATTTGATTTTTGCTCAATAGATCAGTTTCTCTGGACGGATCTTCGCGACAAATTAATAGACCGTTGTCAAGTGTGTACTCAGCCATAGAAGTTCATGCATCTGCACGAACTTTCAGGCATCCTCATGCAATTTGGATTCGTGCCTCGCAAAGGCAGTCGCATGGTTGCTTACTCAAGGTTCACGTTAACTCGCTACGGCAAGTCCCTGACTAATAATAAAAACAAAAATAAAATGAATAATAATAACAATGTTATTTATTGGGCCAGAAGATAGAATGGACAGCAAAAAAAGAGAGACAGTATATACAAATGAAAATCAGCCTTGAGGCTGGTTGTCCCTGGAAAGAGAGGCAGAAATGCTTAGAGGATCTCATTAGGGGGATACACCGCAGTATATATAAATAAATAAACACGAGACTATGATGATTAGTACATGGTTTGTAGGTGTATTTTTAGACTGTTTTTAAATTTGTAATGAGCAGGAATGTTGCAGATGTTAACTGGGAGTGAGTTCCAAAATTGTGAAGCTCTGTCATGGAATGAACAATGAAAGGAAATGATTGTACCAGAGGGAATGCATCGTTTTTCTTTCATTCGCAAAGCGTGTATTGTGCTGGTGAGTGGGAGCTGTGAAAACTTGATGATAGGATGGGGAGGGGGTGTTCAGAGTTTTGTGGCATAGGGATGCAATTTCAAAGTGCGCAAGATTATCAAAGTAAAGCCAGTCAGATTTTTTAGAAGCAGTGCGGATGGGCGACGTGCTGAACATTTGTGGATTATTCTTAGGCATTTTTTTAATTTGGGAATTTATTCTATCTAAGATATTGGATGAGGAGCAAGAAATATATATAGGGAGGCAATATAAGATGTGAGGGAGTATGAGGGCATTAGCAAGTACTTGGATTTCTCTAGTAGAGATTAATGGAGATATAGAGCGAATGTAGTACAGATTTAGATTAATTTTTTAATGATGGAGAGGCAATGTTCTTTATAAGAAAGGTGAGCATCTAGGGTTGGGCCAAGGAGTTTGACTTTTTGAAGTGATTGGATGGGCTTAGAGTTTAAAGTAAGGCCATGTAAGTCTTTTATACAGGATGATGGAAACTTGTTGGGATGGGCTGTAAGTATGGAGTGGGTCTTACTGACATTTATAGGCATTTTATTTTTGTTAACCCAGTTTTGCAGATTGGGAAGTTTAATTTGGAGTCTCCTTAACGACCAGGGGATTTAGATGTGAAAAGTAAATTGTGGTGTCTTCTGCATACATATCAACTTTAGCTTTTTTATACTTATGGGAAGGCCATTTATGTATAGGATGAAAAGTAATGGGCCAAGAATTGAACTTTGTGGGACACCTATATTAAAATTTGGGAGAGGGTCAGAGGTGGTAATACTCCATTGAATCAGTTCCTCATTGCATTCATTTCATGAGGAAATCTATCGACGCGGTGAGCCATTAAAAAATATACAAACTTGAAAGAGTAGAGTCATAATAATGACACCCTCATGCGCTCGAAAGGAATCTGAGTGAGAAATATTTAAATGAAGTGAATGTATACATGAATGAATTGAAATGCATGCTAAACAGATGAAGAGGAGATTCAAGTAATTGACGGGAGAGATGAGGCCCTCGAGGAGAATATTGGAGCATTGAAGAAGTACCTGTTGGAGAAGGGGAAAAATAAAAATATCCTCATAGATGAAGTCCCCATCACACTCGGATTCCAGGACATCATCACACCAGAAGCTGTCACCAAGCACTGGGAATGTATCTTGGACGAGATAAATCAAATAAAGTCAATGACTGTCTCCTTCAGACCCATTGACCAGTCATACACGAGAGACATACCCCTCCTGGACGTGAAACCCAGAGGTTGCCAGATAAAAATCCTCGAAGAAGTCAAGAGGAATAGTAGGAAAATTGCCGAGTTGCTCATGGCAATAAGGTGTTTCTTCAGCCGAAACGTGTTATCTCTTGAGAAGACAGTTCGAATGGACATAGATGAGTCTGCAGGAGGATTTCTTCCAGCTCTCCATTCCATTCCCTCTTGCTCATCTCTTCACCCCAGCAAATGCCAGGAGAAGATGATCTGCGAGGCTGTAAGGGCATCACATGCCATTGATTCGATACGCAATCAATGCTCCATATCATCGAAAGAGCGCCCGCTATTCGTCGTTGTTGATAGCGAGAAGAGAAAGAATGCCCTTGTAAACATAATTATGTCATTTTTCCCATCTATTCCGTTCCTCTTTTTCTCCAACCGCCGGCGGATATGGCGAGGGAATGGGAACTTAAACGGATCGTCCTCTCTTGTAATCGTCACCGAGCACGAAATGATGGGATGCTACCCGAAGAATGTCATTATCATCCTGGATTTCCCATTTACGCAGTGGAAGAACTACAACCGATTGATACCATCCACTTTAGAAAACAAGATCCTTGTGACGGAGGAAGAGGAGTTGAGGACGGGAAAGTTTTCTCGTCTCACGAAGGAAATTTTTGGATGGAAGATCAAGGAGGGAAACATCGATGGGGCAGATCTCAGTCGAATACTAGAAAAGGCATGGCAAGCTTACGATAACAAGAAAATCGAGCATTTGAAGGATGATGCTTTCTCTCGATCACGCTTTCCTGGAATGGACATTGATTCGGATGGAAAGGACGAACAGAAAATTGCAGACGTAGACAGGATGCTAAAGTCTTGGCTCAGTGGAATATTTGGTTTCCCAGCCTCAGGAAAATCAAGTAGGATAGATATTTTGATCAGAAATGTGACGGAATCTTCGGATCATCTCATTCTTCTCCATTGCGGATCTGACCTGTCTTGGGAAGCTTACCGAGAGCGCTGGGGGAATGAGGATCATGTGAAACTTGCTTATCTGGATCCAAGCAAAATCAAGTCTGTCGATGACATTCTGGACCATATAGTGAGAGTTAAAGAGAATAAAGCTAAATTGAATAATAAAAAGAAAAAAAAGGAAAAGGAGGAGGAGAAACATGTAGTGAGGAAAGAGACAGTTCCCCTGTTCGTAGTGGTCGAAGACTGTCCTTTGTTGAAGGACTTTGAGGGCGCTAAGGAGAGATTACAAGAAATGAATACAAAGCTCATACTCGCATTCAGGCCACATTCAGATGACACCTCAGGCATCGCGGTGGAAAAAGCTGCGCGAATGATAGATGGAAAAACTGACTGCACTGCGATTGTTATTCGATCTCAACCGATGAACGTGGCTCTCGTGAAGTATATACAACGACACGAAACTCAAACTGCACTGTCCTTGCCTGCAATGTCCGCATCGATTGTCCCAGGTCCGCCAGTCCGATTCATCAGCATGAAAAACTTCAAATGTTCACAAATACATTCAGGGTACATATGTTCTGGGAATATGTCATGCAGTAAATATGCTACTGCTGCATTATCCCTCTCCCAGGCTGCCCTTTTAAAGGCTCCAGGCATTTCACCTTTCATCCTAGTCACAGATGAAAACCTACTAACGTCGTTGGAAACTTGTAAGTCCGACCCTGATATCGTAGTGCTGCATCCTAGGAACTTTCGTGGGTGCGAAGCTTCGGTCGTAGTCTCGGTTAACGTGAACGAAGACTGGTTGCAGGAAGTAATTTCCTGCGCCAGGACTGGACTCGTCATCATCGACAACATACCTAACCATCAGCATCTTTGGGACACCATGACCCAAGAAGGACGCGTGGAGGCCGTGCATGACACTTTTCCCAGTTACAGTCAAGAGTATCCAAAGATCCTACTGAGACTGGATGAGAAAGAAAGGTTTCTCAAAGTGAGTCTTTCATTTCTTCATCAGAGACTCCCTTTTATTTTTCAAATGATATCCGACAAGGCGGCCTACGCATTGCCTCTAATTATATTTTATACTCGGAACTTCACTAAGATACATAGCACAAGAATCAGTACTGTAGAGTAAGACTAGCCCGATATTGAGCATTAACGACAGAGCATGAGGATTTATAGCAGAGAGCCCTACGATTTCTGGAATGAAGGGTTCGCGTCGTTGAAGTGAGGCCTGAGAATCACCTTGGAATGGAATTCTATCACGAACCACTAGCCTTCATTGGAAACACATGGTATGGATGGAGACGATGATTGATAGAGAACAGCAGACACATTCAGATGACGTTCGAGAAAAAGTTAATCTTGGTATAACGTTTCCTGTGAAATACATATTTCAATCTCAAAGTCTCAAGGACTTTATGGAAACTTCCACGACTCCGGGATTCATTGTTACCGAAAATTTTTCTTTCATTGGCGCCTTAGAGCCAGTCTGTCATTGCACATTTCAGGCACAAATTGCTTGGTCGTTAATACAACTTTTGTTTTCATTTTGACTTCAATTCCCTTAAATCATTTTATTCATATCATTCCGTGGTGCATCTGCTACTGTATCATGGACTCCAAATATTGACAAACATCGATGGGTGACACGCTCAGATGGAGCAACATTAACACTAAGTTGCCTACGACATGCTCTCTGAGCCGTAATGATGGAGCACCCATTCTTAAAATAGAGTTCAACAATAACCACACGCTGTTGTACTGTCCATCTGATGACGATTAAAACCTCAATTACCACTGTATTCTGAAACAAACAGAAATGGGTTATCATTATTACTTTCAAAAATATAAACGCATAAAATCCCTAAACTTCCTTTGGTGGACCCTGTTTTATATACATATACGAGGTTGAGTCAATAACTAAAGTGATTTTACATTTTTCACGGACATTATTTACCCATTATGCACTCATTACCACCTACTCTCGCTACTGCATCTCTGAAGATCTAGTATTCGTGGTTTCTGGAATGTGAAGTTGGCAATATTGTCGCTAGTCAGTTTTTAAAATGGCGGCCCCTCTTTCAGATTGCACAGCTGTTGAACAGCGATATGTCATTTGATTTTTATTGTCAGAAATAGTTAAATCAAGTGAAATTTACCATAGAATTTGTGCAAAATATGGGGACAGTTGTTTATCATCGAAAAATGCGCACAAGTGGTGTGAAAAATTCAGAAACGATTCAGAAAAAATGCACAACGGGGGCAAAAGTTCAAGGACAATACAGACGGTCAAAATGCGGTGAATAATTGGCTACGCTGTTAACAAAGAACGAATTTCTCTGATGGAATTAGAAAGCTTGTGAATGGTTGGAATAAATGTGTTCAGGTAGGTGGTAATGAAATTGAAAAATAGAATATGTTCACATTTCTGGAAGAAATTGTTTTGAAGCTATACTTAAATTTACCTTATTTATTGATCCTCCCCTCTCGTATATTTACTAGGTATGTACATAATAGAGATCGTACTACCACTGCCATTCTAGTCTTATTTCGCGTGTCGGGTCCTTTTCCTTATATGGATACATTTTGACTTATTGGTTTCATTAACCTTGATGCTTTTATTCTCGAAATTTAGTTATGGCAAGGCAAGTTATCTTTTGCGAAACATGCCCACTGAAGAGACAAACCTTTCTGGAATTGCCACTTTGCAGGGGCCGACCTGGGATGAGACAGCGAAAAGAGTGGGCAAAGAAGCACTGGGATGCGGCTTCCTGAATGAAACAACTGGCGCAATCCAAAACATCCCCCCTGAGACATGGGCAACTCTGGACCACTCCAGCAAAACCCTCCATTCATCGTCCCCTTTTCAGGACTGGGGATACGTGTATAACTGTGGTAAACAGAATCATCTGCAGATGATATCGCTCTATGAGTCATGCAGTTGCAATATTTAAGATGACCATCTGTATTAATTTTTCCCTCCTTCCCTTTTACATGTCTATGACGCTCAGTACAATACTAAGCATGATGTCCTATCACCTATGTTGACAGGAAACATTGCTTGCATATGTTGGGAATCGGAAGAAGTCCTGCGTGAATTTTGAGGCTTTGAAAATTTTCATCTTTCCATTATATTTTCTCTAAAAGCATTATATTTATCAGAATCAGGTGCTTTAATTCCTGAAGTTGGGAAGGTGAATGGGAAACATTAGATAATTTCTTCAAGCACTCAAATCGTTTGTGATTCAATGACAATGTCTTCGGTACATCGTCATCGTCGGTACGCAAGCGTTAGGCTTCTGGAAGCGAATACACCAGTGCGAAATTATGCGCGTTCAAGAGATGTCTTGTAAAGAATTTGACACCAAATTCCGTATTTTGTTCATCTTTCTTAGCTCGCATTCACATCTTTCTTTTCCAGAATCGCCAGGATCAGTGACTCAAGCAGATGAGGAGGAGAGAAAGAAAATCCTGGAGATCCTCTTGCAAATGAGAGTGAAGTGGGAAGACGAGAAACTGGCCCCTGTACCATTGAAGATGAGTGGAGAAGGCGGGGTGTTGGAATCCCTTTCCCTCTCCCTAACCGGTTCCCTTCTCCATCTCTCTCTCCTTCAAGTCAGTCTCTCTCCCACTCTTTCTCAGCTTCTTCCCCATTTTTATACTTTTAAGTTAGGCAATGTCTATACTGTGACGGTTGAGAATGCTATCGAGAGGCTCGCGTTCGGTGGTGTAGTGGTAGCACACCTGACCGGCAATCAGGAGGCTTGGGTTAAATTCCCGGCCGTTCCTTGGCTTTCTTTCGGCCTCTCATTCCTTCCTTGTTCCGTCCATCCCCCCCTCCTTAACAATACTTTGCCCTGAGATCTCTTTCCAAGTATTACCCCCCCATCGGCGCTTGCTCCTATCAAAGTATAGCAAACTTTTTAGCAACTGCTTAGTGTGAGCCATAAATCGTGAGAATGTTTTCATTTTTATCACTTTCCCAGGTCAGGGCTTACTCTTGGAGCATTTGAAGAATATTGTCTATCGATTTTGCTTCTCTCTTTGGAAGGGCAATCGTATTCATTTGCTGAAAAATAAACCCTCAAGAATTTATATGTTATCAACATCCGAATAAATTATAGCTTAGCCAAAAAAAAACCGATTCGAGGGAAAAAGTATCCAATACCAAGTGAAATTGAAAGAGAATATCTAACCTCTTGTTAGACAATAAATAGTCGATTCGATGTTATTTCACCATTTTCATTTATTATTATTAATTGCTAATAGAGCTTTAATCGATTAATCACTAGATTCGTAAATTGTATTTGATTCCTAAGAATTAGCAATGATTATTAATTAGAAGAGAACCTGCCCGTGACGATATTGTCAATCTGGGCACATAGAATCTTCATTGAAACCACACTGACCCATTTAGATATGCGGATACGTGCAGAATGAATGTGTGTTATTTTGGCCCATGATATTTTTGAGTGTCTGATTAATTTGACTTATAACTCATTTTCATGTTTCATACTTAGGAGACTAAGTTTTTTTCGGTAGAGAACGCTAGTTATTTGGCTTGCAAATGTACGACTCGATTTCAATATCTTTTATGTAGGCCATGATTTTCTCCATCCTCTGCAGAATATTCTTGCGAAGAAAAACTTTGAGGACCCTCTTCCTCTACTACAGTCGGGAGCAGACCACTTTCATCGCCCCATAGTCCTTATTGGGGAGAAATTATTTAGTGAGTCCCTTCCTTGTTATTATACCTAAATGCAATGTCTTCAAAATAGGCCCTTCTCCCTTGCGGAGTACCCAGCCTATGTCCACAGGCCTGCATCAAATTCCAGAGAGAAGCAATACCATTAAATTCAGAATTTCAGAGATCCTTCAAGCTTAAGAATCAATGAAGGCTTAATGTTTCCTTCATAGTGACCTAGAATCCGGCGCGATACTTTTCAAAAACTGTAACTACTAGGCTCTCTTTGGGCTAAGATAAATATGAAGTCGCCAGATGAATTAAAGAGAACTTTGTTGACTGTTCCGCTCGTTTGCACTTGATATCGGGCTCATGCATGGGATTGTTTGGATTATCTCACGATAATATAAACAATGGGAAACAATGACCTCTCTCCAATGCGGTAAAATAAAAGGTTTAGAATGGATACAGTATAACAGTATCTTTATTTTCTTTTAGGGATATTCATCCCTAGTGGTGTTGAACAAGCAGAAAATGAATGGAGAGGAATCCTACTCTTCGCCCAAGATTTCCGGAATGGTAGCGTCCTCCCTGTGGTGCCTAATTCCGGTACGTATTGTTCATTTTCTCTTCCTATCTCATCACTTGTCCCCTTGGTCCTTCTCAAAAGGGTCCACATAGGTATTAACCCATACATAATTTGGGCCTATTTAATTCCAGCCCTGGAACTGAAGTAAATGTAGCAACCAGTGAGGGTGAATTTTTAGTCGATCTACCAGACTGCAAAATCTGAATTTTCTGAACCATGACAATTCCAAGATTTACAAAAGAGATCTTACTTCCGTGATATCCTTAAAAGGTTTCTTCTCTTTCTCTTACAGCACCGACTGGTACTGAGGAAGGATAATGCAGATCGTTCGATGTCTTTCATATCAATGTTAGAAAGAAGGAAAAGAAAGTTGCAGAAACAAATTATCCATTGATACATTTCATGCTGTATTTTATTTCCAGCGTGAACCACCAGCACCAACTGCAGTTTTTATTTTCTTCATTCGTACTCTGGAGAAGCAAAGAGACACACTGAGTAATACTCCTTTTTACCTCTTAGAGTGAAATGAAGAGTTAGCCGAAGTTTGTGCTCACATTTTTCTTGAAGAGTGTTGGCTCTCGTTTGGGATCATTCGAAGAAACATGGGCTATCTAAACAGCGCAGATTGTTTGCGATAAAATGATGATGGATGCAGAGCGTGGAGAATGCGGCGTGGGGCTGTGAAAACAAAAGGTGCGTGAGCACAGGGGTGTATTTCCGGGAAGGGAGTTACACATCTATGCCGAAAGAGACATCCTCTCTGGTTTTGTTTTAACCTGATCTTTGAACGATTCCGCCAGTCTATAGTTTGGACTTAGGTGAGTGATGAGTGTTTGCTTCAATTTCCAGAGAAATGGTACCTTTGGATGCAATTCATTCACCACGATAACTTTCAAAAAGTGTTCCATTGCAAGCACGAATGATTGGTGTGGATATGAATCATCTCATGCAATGTGTCGTGCTCAACTGACGTAATAATATTTAAACTCACTTGATTTAGAGAATTCCTCACCTAAAAAATAGTGTTAATTGGCACAGGCGAGATAACGAAAGTAGCAGAGCTATGTAAATGTTGAGTGATTAACAAATATTATTTTATTAGATCATTATTTTATTAATCAACTCGTCTTCGGCCTTGCAACCATAATAGTAACTCATTAATTATTCATTACTTCCTTCTAACATCTCTTTTGGCATTTCAGGACATGTGTGGATGGAGGCGAACACGTTACCAAAGGTGTGGAAGGACAAAATGCCCAAATCTTTGGAGAGAATCTCCTTTCGGGGGACGATAGACGTGGATTGGAGGGCTCATACTGTTCCTCTCATGTGGGCCCTGGACCGTTGCCTGGTCGACCTACTTCCTCTCAGCCCAGGTGAGGGGAAAAGCGTGATTTCGCTCTGCCCCTTTCATTCTCCTTCATCTCCAACTCGTTATTCTCCTAGAACAAATATATCCCTTTTAATTTTTTTACATAATGGCTTCATTCATTGGAAGATTATGCAGATGGTTTCTCAAACCTGCATCCAATATGTGACTACTGGATGGGGAAGGCATTGCTCTAAACTGTGACTCACAAGTAGCCGACAAATAGTTTCATGGGGTTGTCAGCAGCATCAGTTACAACGTCATTTTTATTGAGAGGAATCGTGATTAGGCGAATCCAAACGGCTAGAACCTTACATTACCTAATGCATGAAGAGAGAGAAAATCTGGCAAGATGAGTGTGGTGAATAGAGCCTGACTCCTTGCGAATCTGCTCGGAGAAGAAGGGAGAATCGCCCTCTGCTTCAAGTTGGGGTTTCAATCACTCCGTATCCCATTAAATTTTATATTTATGTTTATCTCGAAAGAGTAAGAATTGGTAATGGTAAAGCCGGGAACGGTTGGTACCTGTTGGCAACACTTTGTATTTCTCAAGAGTACTTCGAAGTCTCATGTGTGTGCTCCATTATTTTTTTAAATATGGTTTCACTGAATATATTATAGATCTATTATCTTGTGCCTGCCTACGATCGGCTGCAATTTGTCGATCACGCTATTCTCTCATACGTAGGCATGGAATAGGTTATGACTAAATAAATTTGGAGCCCAAAAACAGGAGATTTATTTTCCAGTAGATGAAATGCTCATGCTCATTAGAAGACTATATCAGTACGAAAAAAGAAATTCAGCTCCTCAGCATGTCGTTCCTCCAACATTTTAATAGTTCGTGATAGCTGAAGTCTCAACAATTAATTTAGTGTCTTTCTTTCTAGGGCAGGGACATAGATTAGACCATATTTATTCGAAAGCCAACAAAGAAAATATGCGTAATTTGACAAGATCTTTCCCCGTTCCTTTAGCTTTTATCATTTATACCTTCTTCGCTTCTTGAAAATTTATTGCATAACTTTTTTTTCTTTACAGAAGAGCTGCAGGAGCGTGGGAATCGCCATTGATATGGCATTGATACGATTTCTTATTCGACCACTGATATCAGGTACCCCTATTCTGTGAACAATATATGGAATTTCCCAAGCGTACTTCTCCTCACTTCATCTGTATCTCTCTAGTGCAGAATGATAAATGCAATGGATATTCACGTTCCTACTCAGTAATTTATTTCCAGGTGCCGCACTTACTTTGACCAATTAATGTATTTCAAATCCAATTGTAATGTTAACAAATTAATTATAAGATGTACCGGGAAATGAAAAGAGCACCGCTATTCGAATTCTCCTGCGCCTAACATGTTAAAATTCAGGTTTGAAATTTTCAATTAGCCATGCTTCCTACATTTAATCTGATTTGGGCCCTCGTATAGTATCTTCACGTGTTTAATGGCAGTGACTTTCCAGGTTTGCTCGAACCACAAAGAGAGTTCAGGTAATTTACTAAAGCATTCTTCCCGTTCGAGGATAAATATATCCGACCTCAACAACTATGCGAGACCTCTTCAGGCATGCAGACAATTGAGATAAAGCATGGTATGATTCGTAAAGTTCAAAGTTTTAAGGAATTTTCATAGCGTCAAGGCTTTCTGGGACTTTCATGCCATCTGCCTATGCAAGACCTTTCATTCCTTTTTCAGTCAGATGCTGTGGGAAAACTTACTTGAAGTCTTTCGTGGTTATTATGAAGTATAGCACATACATTTGTGTAGGAAAAGGGCAAAAGTGGGGTTATTCCATCAAGAACAGTTTAACCTTGATTCTTTGACTAATGTGAAGGAAAATTTATTACTTTAAATTCCTCCCTGATGGTTATATAGTTCTATACCTTGAAAATCCCCAGGCCAGAATTATCAGTATTTCATGTGATGGAAATACTGCACATTTTGTTCATGGCAGAGAGCATGCCCTGTATCAAATGGAACGGGTGCCAAATGACATTGACTCCCTTTGGTCTAATGGTATGACAGTGCGCATGCTCCAGAATTGCAGGAATGCATGAAAATCGTTGCTATTTTTCCCCCGTGCTATTTGCTATCTCCTAAGTTTCAAAGAATCTCAAAGAGCGCCCGATTTTTTGTCTCAACCTGTACAGCTCTGTCAAAGGTATACTGCATCAGGGAAAATGTTCTATGAAGTTACATATTGCTTCGTTGCAATTTCGCATATCTGTTAATGTCGACTGTTTCTTGCTTTCAGGTGGCATTGCTCAATGAACTAGGCAGTGAACGTGCAAAGCAGCGATTTCCAAGGGTCAGGAGAAGCACTGCAATCTGCCAATATTCATGTCCATTGCATTGCCAAACAAGACACCTTCATCCATCCCTATACATTTTAATGATATTTAAAAATACAGAAGGTGATTACATAGATCAACGATTTTGCTTCGTGGGAAGATACGTACGTACGTTTCGTACTCCTGGACGAAACATTATGCTACGAGTGCGAATCATTTTAGAAGAAATTCGATGCAATATGCCGTCCATGCGTAAAATTATGCGGCAGGTACGCAAGTCAATGGGTAACATCGTACGTCTTGCATACGATGTTTGATTTTAAATTTCGCACGCTCAAAGGAACTAATTTTTCTTCGAATCAAAACCACGAGGCTACTAATATGGAAATCAATTCATGTCGATTGGTCCAAAATGGTTGTTTGGGAATTCAACAATGAAAAATGTGTGTGCTGGAGGTTTCGGGAAACTGGTATATCCAAAATATCTGCTGTCTAGGTCAAACGGTCTTAGAACAATGCCCATTGCAATTTGGGAGGGAAAGGGAAAATTACCTAGGACAATTTTGATTTTCAAGTTTTTTTTCGAGTTCCCGAATGCAGATATCATCCCTTAAGTGTGTGTCGAGTGTAGCTTTATTCAGAATTATGGTGAACCACTTTGCGTCGTAAACAGAGCTTGAGATAATGAGGTGTGTATGATCTCTAAACGTAAAAAGTCAAGTATATGAAACGATTGAATGAAGATAGTCTAACATGGTGTCCGATCAGACTTAATTCCAAAGATTCCCACTCGTTGATACCTCTGGAATCGGCGAATCCTCAACATGGTATTTTCGGAGGTATTCCTGGAAGTAACTGACTCGGACATAGTAGGATGGGGGATTTTTCCACCCCAAGCGCCGTGTGAGGTCACCCCCATGAGGTACGCCTGGTTTCCGTAATAGACGACTAAAGGTCCTCCACTGTCACCCTAGGAGAAAATAAGATTTAGAAAAGAAACGAGTGAAGAGTCTGCTAAGGGATAGCAAGGAGGAATGAAAATATCACTCTCGAAGAAATGAGTGAGCTATATATATAAATATGAATTCATGAAGAGAAACATCATTATTGGAATGGAATAAAGCTGTTAGGGAAGAAAATTCAAAATATACGAAGGAGCAAAGAAATTATGTATGAGGACGTTCCAGCAAACATCTTAATAATTTAAGGAAAGAATATCATTTAGATTATTAATGGATCTAGAGGTATGAGACTAATAGAACATTTTTTTATAATAAAAACTTACATTATGTTATTAAAGAAAACGTTAAATGCATTTAATCTGGGAAGTGAATGGGAAGAATGACGTCCTTTCCTGTGAAACTACCAATATTAGAGAGTTGGTTCAACATAATAAGCTATTCCACATGCAACTTCAGTTTTCTCACGGTGGAGACTGCGCTTTGGGGTCTCATCCCCTGGGCACACACAACACCTAAAACATTCTTCGGCGGAATACAGCCAGGTTCACCCTATTGGATGATGCGGACGTCGATTTGTGCCATGAAGTCGGGATTTGCATCCAACTCGGGGTCTGTACTACCCCATCCAAAGGCCTTCGCCCTACGGCGTTTGCCCACTTTCATGTCATCAGCTGAAGGCACGCAGATCCAGTTATTGGGAGGTGCGTCACCACCCACTTTGGGTACGTTTCCGGCGAGCTCTCGCAGCGCAATGTCGTAATCTGTCCAAGGTGCGCATGAAACTTGTTTCAGAACAAAAACAGCCGAGATTAATATGCGCGATCAACTTGGTATGAATGTCAATATTACTTTTATAAGAATTCCCTGAGGTGCAGTTACAGAAGGATCACATCGGGGAGTTTCTTCAAGAGAGGATATGTTATTAAATTATTTTAATTTAAGTATAAAGTCTAGCATCTTCCTCTCTGGGAAAAGAAATCATTGTGGCGATGAGCTGCTTTGTTTTTGTATTGTGATTGCGGTGGAAAACAGAAGAAAAGATTTTGATGCACTGATGCCTCTTTGCCATTTCTGAGCTAAGAAAAAACTCCACTAGGCCTCAAGATTAGTTCATTTACAGCAAATTCGTTAAGTTAGAGAAGAAAAGACTCAAATGGCATAGCTCAATGGTAGTGAAAACTGGTATTAAGTCACGAAATGTAAACTAGGAATATTAGATTGGGAGATGAGCACAAGCAGTACGTATTCTATTGCGTGCCCGACCGTGGTGTTTACTAATAGAATAAATTATTTAAGGAATTATTGCACCTAGTAGAAGTACATATAAATTCCCATCATTAGAAATAGAAGCTCCATTGGAATTTCGGTAGGCTCTATTTGAAAAGAGAACATATTCCTGTACCGAAAATACGAAAATTTTAACTCAAGAAAGGTTTCCCTCCTTTATATCGACGAACGCGGATAAACTGATGGAGACACACCGAAAAAATTGGCAATGTGCAGCGGTCAAGACGAACCTCAGGTGGATGATCGTTCCCCCACAATACCTCTCGTATCCGTAGATTTCAATACGAAGGGATACCATCCAAGGTGCCGACGCAATGCTCGGCACGCCAGATCCGTTAATGAGCCTCGCTTGCCTAGGAAGATACCATTGTCCGCATCCTTCTGTAGAAAAGGCAATCGAATGTCTTTAAATGTACACTCAGAATCGTCATAGTCATAGGTATCGTAAAGGTACGTCTGTCGTAAATAGCTGAAGGTTTTGAAGTGATGGTGCATTGTGCTTGAGTAAAATCGAACCAATATCCCAAAACCACAAGTGAGGCCCAGAAACACAGCGCAGACACAGGATACTCCATCTGCGTATTCTCTGTCAGATTGGGAGATGAAACTCGAGAGGCAGAGGGGAAAAATGAAAAACGGTTTGAAATGGACGCGTGTCCGATTACATTTTGGCCTCGGGACATGATCTTCCGCCTATTTAGACCATGTCGGACGCGTATGATGGGCCTCACCTACTTCTCTGGGGTCTTTTCTTTCATTCCTGGATATTGTGCGTAGGAATCATCCAGATCCACGTTTACGCGCGTGCATCTTCGAAGGAACATGGATAATTTCATATTTTCTCTTGCAGAAGCAGGAAATAATGCCACGGTAAGGGTTGCATTGTCCTTACAGGACCCGGACACCACAAAAAGCATGAGTGAGAGGGTATTCTGCGAACGCAAATGGAAACTTTTTTCATTCATTCTGGTGTAAAAGTGATCTGATCCTCATGAAGCGAAAAATATGTTTGCAAGAAATGCCAAGAAGAAAAGAGGAGGAAATTACGAATAAATAAATCTTATCTGATTTAACTATGCTTCGGATGAGTCATGCAATAAAGAGAGATCCCAGCCGTACGCGGAATAGAGAAATGAGTCTTCCGTCCATTAACTTGAATTTGCCATAATTAACCAGTGGTAATGGTACCAGAGTCAAGACTCTGGTACCATTTGCGACTAGAGGCCGTGCACAATTGTGGCCGCTAGCTAGGCCGAACGGCAATTGTTTTTTTTTTTCGTTTGTGCGTGCGTGACAGCTCTACAGGCCTAACGCATAGAGATATGAACTTGCGATTCCGACAGAACTCGTCCTAACCATGCGAAGATGCGCCTTATTGAAATGAAATTTGCAATCGGCCATAATAAAGGGAGGGGAGGCAATTTTCATTGGAAATCGGAGATTAGCTCTCGTCTCTCCATCTTCCGGATGGCCTTGGAAACGAGAGTTGACGTGGTTCTCGAAAGGGAACGGTGGCATCGCTCACAACATTGCGTTCCACCTGCTGCCGTGAATCCAGGGATTTCAAGGGTCTATGATGTGCTGGGCGATTCCTCGGCTCGTTGCCACATACGTTCACTTTGGCTTTCGCAAAGAAACCCACCACCCTAATTTCCTCGTTTGTTTCCATGGCTCTAAATGCAGATTTGAAAAATCATACGCACAACGCAAGGAGGTCGGAAAGAGTGAGTTTTCAAAGGGTTGGATTGTTTTCCCATATCGCAGTCGCATTGGCAGATGGCAAAAAATACAGGTGTACTGTTTGGGAGTCGGGATCTTGCAAAAAATTATGCGGGATTTGCGGATCTTTGCTGTGCTGTGTGTTGCATCTTACTATATTCTATATTACTATATTCTTCCCCTCCATTCGAATTCATTTCCCTCATTCATTTCACTTGATTGGGTGCCGAGAAAAATCACGGGTCCAATGAAACCTATAGGCTTTATACATATGACATCACCCAATTAGCACATGAATGCTTTCGAGAACGTTCAATTCGTTTTCAATGAGCTCTTTGAACAAAGTGAGATTTTTTATATGCGACTTTTGGGCGCTTAGTTAAGATGCATTTTTTCACGAAACATGCTCCATTTGGAGGACATTTGTCGAGTGCTTAAGATGCTTTCCTAATCCGCATCAATGGTGTCCATGTGACAAAGGCCCGAAGCAAAGGTTCGCACAATCCACGCTAGATGGCGCCAAGATAGTCCATAAAACGTGTCATTTCTTGATATATCTGGATTCATTTCCTGTATACCGTCCACAAGGTAGACGATCTCTCTCCACATGAACCAGAAAATAAATACCTGAATTCTTGAACAAATCGGTCTTTAGAGGCAAAGCAATCCAAGGAGTCTGCAGAGAACTCTGGCTCGAAAGATACAGGGCGGAGGGTTCGAGGTCACTTCTTGGGAAAGAGAACGAAACGGTACAAATAAATATTATCATCATCTCTCCTTTGAAAAGGCTATTCTGTGGGTGGGTTATCTGACAACCGAATATAAGGTAACAATATATCATGATAGTTTCAGTACACCTAATTGCCCCACGTTTCTCTACTGAACTATCCCTACGATTGAAGATAGTGCCTTCAATCAGACTAATCGACTACTTTATGGCTTCTAACGCGAGCCACGGTAGCAGGGCTCTACTTGGACTGAAGGCAATTTACGTGTTGAAAAGAGCGCATCCATAGCGTTAATTGCATTTTGAATGAATCCTAAAGCAGATTTTTTTTTATAGAACCCCGTTCACGTCCTTGATAAATTCACGTAGTTCGAGGAACGCATTATTTGAACAATTTTTCATCGCTTTGAGTTTTGGACATTGAAGCAGTCAATAGATCTATTCTAGGGACATGAATAGAA